GTGGGGGTGGTCTACTGGGACCACGACTAGTCCTCCCAAGTGTCTTCTCCTCCCTGGCCCGGAGGACACCTGAGGCTGGAAGTTAATTAAGTTGATTGGGTTAATTAGGTTGATGACCCCCACCCAGGGGCTCTCTTTGAGCTCCGCCGAGGTGGGGTCGACCCCTCCCTGGGAGGAGAAGGACCCTGGAGGTCCTCGGTCCACCCCCCGGGCCGGGGTCCCACCTGCGGCCTGGTCCGTGTCCTGCTGTCCCCACCGCTCGGGTGGGAGTTCCCCCCCCCCAGTCCCGGGGGGCTTCAGGGTCACACATCGGCTCCGAAACCTGATTGGGCTCCTCAGGGTGGTCTCCTGGTGAGGTTGAACTTCGTTGGGCTCCTCAAGGGCAGTGTCCTGGTTGGGTTGAACACGGTTGGGTTCCTCCCGGTGATGTCTTGGTTAGATTGAACTTCAAAACGTGGTTGGGTTCCTCGGGGAGATGTCTTCATTAGATTGAACATCAGAATGTGGTTGGGTTCCTCGGGGTGATGTCCTGGTTGGGTTGAACTTGGTTTGGTTCCCTCAGGGTGGTGTCCTGGCTAGACCCAGTTCCAAAACTTGGTTTGGCTCCTCAGGGTGATGTCTTGGTTAGAGTGAACTTCAAAACGTGGCTGTGGTCCTCGTGGTGATGTCCTGGTTGCTTTGAACTTGGTTGGGTTCCTCAGGGTGGTGTCCTGCTTAGACTGAGCTCCAAAACTTCGTTGGATTCCTCATGGTGATGTCTCGGTTAGGTTGAGCTCCAGAACATGGTTGGGGTTCCTCAGGGTGGTGTCCTGGTTAGACCCAGCTCCAAAACGTGGTTGGGCTCCTCAGGGCGATGTCTTCATTAGATTGAACATCAAAATGTGTTTGGGTTCCTCAGGGTGATGTCCTGGTTAGGTTGAACTTGGTTGGGTTCCTCAGGGTGGTGTCCTGGTTAGACCCAGCTCCAAAACGTGGTTGGGCTCCTCAGGGTGATGTCCCGGTGAGGTTGAGCTTGGTTGGGGTTCCTCAGGGTGGTGTCCTGGTTAGACCCAGCTCCAAAACGTGGTTGGGCTCCTCAGGGTGATGTCCCGGTGAGGTTGAGCTTGGTTGGGGTTCCTCAGAGTGGTGTCCTGGTTAGACTCATCTCCAAAACTTCGTTGGATTCCTCATGGTGACGTCTCCGTTAGGTTGAGCTCCAGAAAGTGGTTGAGTTCCTCCCGGTGATGTCCTGGTTGGGTTGAACTCCAAAACTCAGTTGGGCTCCTTGAGTCGGGGTGCGGTGGGGTTGGTCGAGTGTCACGAACCCCCTTTGCGGGAGCACTCGGCCACGAGAACTCCCAGGGGAAAAAAAAAAAACCACCCAAAATTGCTAAAAAGAGGTAAAACGAAGAGAAAAAAGAAAAGACTTATCTTTTTTCGCAGCCAGTTGAGGTTCAAGTTGTCCTCCGGCCGACGCGCCGCAGGAGAAGCGACGCCACCGTGGGGGTGTTGGAGGATCTACGCACCACCGCACCCACCGGGAGCCACCGCCCTGCGGTGGAGCATCGCGTTTTGGGGTAAAATCAAGGAAAAATGGTTTAATCTGAGGCTCCGGGGTGGTGGAGGGGGGGAGGAGAAGCGCCACCTCTCAGCTGAGGGCTCTCACTCCTCTTGGGGGACTCCAGATGTCCCCTCAGCTGCCGACTGGGGGGTGGGGAGGGGGAAATTTGGGGTTCAGACACTCCCCCCTACACAATTTGGGGCAGAAAATGGCTTTTTTGGTTGTCCTTTATATATATTTAAAAAAAAAAAAAACATCAATTTTTGCGGTGGGGACCTTCAGGCCCTGAGGGGACATCGTCTCCGTTTCACCCGAATCCGCTCCGGGGAGGAGAACAAAAAAATCAGTATTGTGGGAAAAGCTTTGAATAAATCTTAAAAAATTTAAAATAAAAAAAAAAAAAAGAAAGAAAATTAATCAATATCGACCGTAGGGAAAAAAAAAAATATGAAAAATATAAAAATAGGTAAAAATCTAAAAAGAAATTTGAGGTTATTGGTGTTTGAGGAGATTTAATTTCGGGTCTGGAGCACATCGTTGAGTCTCTTGAAGTCATTTTGGGGGGTTTGAGGGGTATTTTTCCTCTTTTTCAGCCGCCCAACGGTTTGAAAAACAGCAAAAAAAAATTTGAACTTTTTTTTTTTTTGATGGGATAAATAAAAAAATAGGGGAAAAACGTACAAACTTACCAATTTTGGGTGGGTGGGGGAGGACACGTGTGGCCGAGTGCGGATGTTCGACAGCAACAAAAAACCCGCCAAATTTATAAATTGGCCAAAATTAGGGGGTTTTTGGCCCCTGTTTGGAGTCAGAAATGAGTT